CCTTGGAAGGCACCAGATGAAGGCCCAGTGATTCGAATCCTTGCCACCCCGGATGAAGTTCCTGGTTCCTAGCTTTGTCTTGGCTTAGGGTCAGCCGTTGTGGCCATTTGGGGAATGAACCAGCAGACCGAAGATCTCTTTTTCTCTATAATTCTAAGTGAATAAATAAATCCTTAAAACACACACACAAAGGTGCTTAGGAGTTCTCTCTTGGAGCTAGGAGTAATGCTTGACTGTGTCTGGTGTGGGGATAAATTCTGGGCAGTGTGATGACGCTTGTGGTCTCAAGAACGCTGTGAGATTAAAGGGGGGCTGAGAAGCAGGCATGGGAGCTTAAGGAGCCTTCTAGGAGTGGAGGGTGGGGTCTGGGGCTGTGACCAGGGTTGGAACCCTCGCTGCACTTGGGAGGTGGAACTTGGGGCTATTTCATCTCTTCTCTGAGCCCTAGGGACAGGGTCCCCTGGGAAGTGATTGTCCAAATAGGGGCAGGCTGAGCAGACAAGCTGGGAGGTCGTGCCTGGGGAAAGCGCATGCGGTGGTGTTCAGCGCCGGGCACAGGTTGTGTGCATATTCGCTGGTTGTTCGCGTTTCATAGCACACACTCAGACTGCGGCTCCGGGGAGATGAGGGTCTCAGACAAGCCCCCATAGGCTGCGCAGGCGCAGCTGGGACCGGAGCGTGGGGGAGGGGCGATGTGCCGTCCCCACCCCCACCTTCTTCCTCACCCTCTCCCCCCCACCGGCTGGTGGAATTGGTTCTGAAAAAGGTCACTGGAGGACGGGGGAATCTCACTGGGGCCCAGAGCGCGGGGACATCGTCCACCGGCAGGGGAAGCTTGGGGGAAGCGCGTCCCCGGTTGCTACTGTGTACGCCCAATGCTGGGATTGGTCCACCGGCCCCTGGGGCCTCATCTGGGGGGAAGAGGCCTGTCCGCCCAGCAGGAGACCCGGCCGGCCCCGCAGCTGCCGGCTCTGCCAGACCAGTGTGGCAAGCGCACACGGTCCATACGCGCCGATGAGGCCACTGGGGAATGTGATGAGGCTGCTGAAATGGGGCCTGGGCCCAGCGGGAGAGAGAGGCTCCCGCCCCCGCGGCAGGGTGGGATGTGGCCACCGCTTCCCAGAAACTCGACCTGGTCCACGTGGCACAGACTGACCCTGAGGGGCCTGGGTGGGTGGAACCTGTTGGGGGGGAGGGGAGGAGAGGGGCTGTGAGAGGAGAGGAGGTCTCACCCCAGCCATGATGGACCTCTTTTGCCTTACAGATTTGTTTATTGTTATTTGAAAAGCAGAGAGAGGGAAGAAATAGAAGTCTTCCAACCTTTGTTTCACTCCCCAAATGGCCACAATGGCCAGAGCTGAGCCAATCTGAAACCAGGAGCCAGGAGCTCCTCTGGGTCTCCCGCACGTGTGCAGGGGCCTAAGGACCTGAGCCATCCTCGACTGCTTTCCCAGGCCACGCCAGGGAGCTGGGTGGGAAGTGGAGCAGCCAGGACATGAACCAGTGCCCATTTAGGATGCCAGTGGCACGGGCAAAGGCTTAGCCTACTGCACCACTTTGCTGGCTTCTTGAGCCATGCCAATCACAGAAGGACATGCTGAAACCAGAGACACCTGCCAACAATGCCGGGGCCCCATGACCTGCTTGCCTTTCCCAGTCTAAAGGGTTGTTGCTGCTTCTGCATAGGCCTCCATGAGGGTCCCCAGATGTCACTCAGTGGTACACACTTCCTGGGGGCCGAATTATGCTGAGCCTTGGTGTTCCCATCTGTAAAGTGTGGATAAACCAAGTCCTGCAGGTGTTGTGATCCTCTGGCAGGACAGGGTGGCTCTCAGGTCAGGTGTAGTGACTGGAAGTGTTCAGAAAGGCTTGGCAGCTTGTCTGTATCTGGGGTCCTGGCCAGCAAGTGGCAGCTGGGGCCATCTGCCCAGCGCTTAACCCCACCATGAAGCCCAACCTAGAGAGAGTGGACAACCCGTGTCCCTCCAACACCACTGGACACCCCAGGTCACCAAAGCCCTTCCTGCTTCGTTCACCTGTGATCTGTGCGCTGAGCAATGCTAGCTGAGGTCCTACTGCGTGCCACCCACTGTCCTGGGGAGGGGTACTTCAGGCCAAAAGCAGAGCCAAGCAGTGGCACAAGGCCCTGCCCTGGCCCCAGTGCTCAGCACTCAGGGGCAAAGCCCTGGCAGAAGGGTGGAGTGACACCCAGCAGACCTGTGTGAGCAAATGCAGCCACCTGACCCTGAGTTCAAGTCCAGGTTCTTCCCACTGAGGATGTTTATTCTGAGAGCTCGCGGACAGTAGCAGCCACTGGGTCTACTTTTCTTTGCTAACGCTTGCTATGCTCCCACTCTTCGTCCCTCCAGAAGGGGATCCAGTCCACACTCACAGGACAGGCAGGGGATGACTGCATGAAGTATTCAGCTGAAACCATGAAGGAAGGAAGGATTGTCTGATCTTCGCTGTGTCTTCGTTCAATCATTTATTATTTATGAACATGAACTTAGGCACCAGGGTGCTTTCAAGAAGTTTATAGAAAACGAAATCAAATGCTGTGTTTATTTTGGTACAAAACAATTTTGAAATCTGTGCATCGTTTTTCCGTAACATGCCTTTTCTAGGAATCTTGGCAAGATCCAAGGCTGTGCTGGATGTGCGCTGGGCTGCAGTCGGAAGCCGCCTGAGTGGCTTCGTTGTTCAACTGGTTCCAGGTTTGACCACTGGCTGCTCTTCCGGGTTGCCATCTGTTTGTATGACATGGCTCCACCTCTGGGTTTGTTTACTAGGATTTCTTTTTTTAAATAATTTATTTTAGAGGCATAAGGGGTTGGGAAGAGAGACAGGAAGAGAATGCCTCTCATCTGCTTGTTCCTTCTCCCCAAATTCTGCAGTAGGCCAGAGTGGAAGTCAGGAGCCCGAGGCTCAGTTGAGGTCTCCCACAAGCAAGGCAGGACCAGTTGAGCCATTCCTGGCTGCCTTCAGGTCTGTAGGAAGTAGAATCAAGAGCCAGGACAAGTGAAGATAGCTCTTAACCACCAGGCTGGAACACTTCCTTTACTCCGATACTTTGTGATGCTCCAGGCTTTTCTTGCATTTTTCCCTGGAATCAGCCACTTTCCCAGGTTCCTTCTGTCATTGAAAAGTGGCTTCCAGGGTCTGGGCATCCTCCCTGCTGCAGCCAGGCCCTCCAGGGCACAGCAGGCTTGGCTTTGCATAAAACAATATGCCCATTCTGCTGGCCGTTGAAGTCTCCTTGGGAGACATTGGCCTTTGAGGATGAATCAGTGTGTTGCTCGCACAGCGTGCCAGCCTGGGGAGGCCTGTGTCCCTCAGGGCAGTGAGGAAGCCAGCCCCCAAGCCACCTGTCTCTGCTGGTGTCCCTGTCCATTCACCAGCTGGACTGTCAGGTCACTGAATTGCTCAGGCCTGGCCTTGACCTGCACTAAAAGAAAGCATGGGCTGTTTGGGGCTTGTAAGCTGCAAGCTGCTATCGGCTGCTCTGGCGGTCACCATAGTCCAGCCAGGGAACCATGGTGGCTGCCAGGATCAGGCACCAGGCAGACCAACTCAGCTACCAGACCCAGCACACCCAGGGACCCAGCGCTAAATGGACAATGGCCCAACAGCTGCACCAGGCTTCCTCACCTCTCCCCAGCCCCACCTGTCACAGGTCTGTGCTGCTGATGCTCCATGGGCTGGGGGAGGCCTGAGGTCCCCAACCTCCAGGGCATGCAGAGCGCCTGCCTGACTACCCACAGCTCTGGGCTGAGAGTCCCTGTGACACCAATCATGGCATACTCTCTGCTGAAAACTTTCACCGGCTCCAACTGCCCTCAATTGAAAATTCGTGGACCTGCCTGCAGACCTTTGGCACCTACGTCACATATCAATGATGCCAAATCACTTGTAGTTCTTTACACAACTATGTGGCTTTACGTTCCCGCAGCTGACTCGGCCTGCATCACCCCTCCCATGCTTTCTGGCTAATCCTCACAGCTCTGGGGTCACCTCCTCCAGGAAGTCTTCCTCCTGGGTCCCAGATCCCTTCTGCTCCCTTGGCCTTGTTCCTGGTCACCTGTGTCCAACACGGCACGACCTCTGTCTGACGGGCAGGAAGCCACCTGACACACGGTGGAACGGATACAAGCTTTTAGAGTTTCATTCTGACTTCCTGAGCTTTGAGACTTGGGCAAGCCACGGCACGGCTCACCCACAGCCCCCGCACTTCCTTGGAATTCCCGGCCCTACTTTCCATTCCATCCTCTGCCCCTAACTGGTTGTGTGGCCTCGGGCAAGCCCAGCATCTGAGCTCAGCCTCAGTTTTCCTCTTCTGTCCAATGGGGCCGCCCACGAACCTTATAACAGAGCTAAGTTCCCACAAGCCATAACCTGTGCATGGAGCTTTTATAAACCTCAGAGCCCCAGAGAAGGCTGGAAACTGTTTCAACAGCTCCATGGGGCTGATGGAAGAATGGCCAACAGTGGTCCTCACCAGCCTCCTGACCCCCCGGAGGCCTACAGATCAAAGGTGGCAGGGGTCGGCTGGCACTGAGGCTGGGCAGACTGGGCAGGGCCTGCTCCCAGAGCAACGTGACAAGCCAGCCTTTGCGCAAGAAGAGCTGTTTAAACACCCCAGGGTGGGGGAGGCTCACCTCCCATCTCCCTATCCCCAAATCCCACCCCCCCATACTCAGGAGGCCTCCCATGATTAAAAGCCTAGATCGGTTTCAACATCTGTAATTTTATTCCAGCGCAGAAATAAGTCATTTTCTAACAATAAATATTAAAAAAAATAATAAATTAAGGTTCCAAAAAGAATTGACCATCAAACACAAATCTTTTAACACTGGAGAAGCATCATCTGAAGAGGATGTGGGGGGAGGGCCAGCGGGCCCAGGAATGTCTGACCCAAGCCATCCTCTCTGCCCCCAGCACACACACATTCTTTCCACAAAGTACAAAATATATATCTTTTAAAAACCTCAACACAACCAAGCACCCTGTGTGGGGGCCCAGGAAAGCAAGAGTCTGGCGCTCCTTGGGCTGAGGGCCAGGCCCAGGCCCGGAGTCTGAAGAAGGCACCAGAGGGACGGAGGACCCCGTGGGGCACACCCAGCTCGAGTCCACGTGCGGCCCCTGTCAGTGAGGGAGGGACCACAGGGGCCCAGTCGCGTGGCCATGGGCTTAGATTACCCCGCCCCCTCATCTCCCATCTCCCTCTGGCAGGAGACGGCGAGTGTGAGGTTGGTTTGGAAATGTCCTGTGAGGATACCAGAAGACCTTGATCAGACTCCTGCCCCAGAGAATGCTGGGAGCATGGCGATGCCTGCTAAGTGCTTGAGCATCTCTCCTTCAGGAAATGGGAGTGAGGAGGGGAGGGGACCCAGGTCTGGGACCCTCCAAGAACCCCCAACAATGGCGCCCAGAAGGGGACAATTCAAAATAAATAAGTTCCCCGGACGCCAGCGCGGGGCTGGCAGCTAAGTCACTGCTCTTCAAGTCTTCATGGCCGAGGGGTGGGCTCAAATGGGGATGCCCACGGTGTTGACCTGGTCCTTGAGCCCCAGCAGGCTGTAGGCGATGCGCTTCTGGTGGCCCGGCAGCCGTACCCCAATCCTCTTGATGTCCCTGTAGAGGGAGACAGGGAAAGTCAGGGAAGCCTGCAGCAGCGAGGGCTGGAGGGCTGGGGATAGGCCAGGAAATGGCAAGGGGAGCGGGGAGTTGAGGACCTATAGGGCAGTGGGGGAATCCAGCTGAAAAGAGCCAAGAGAGAGGGTCCCCGCTGTGCTGGCCCTGCCTCCACAAAGTCAGGAAAGGCAGAGTGGTGACTCGGGACATTCTTTTCAAAACATCCAATCTGCATACCTAGCTGAAGTGGGCACTCAGAGAGGTACAGGGACTTGCCTAGGGTCACACAGCCAGCAGGTGCAAGAGTGGGAACCAAACCAGCTGTGAACAAATGCCCATGACTCCTACTTGCCTGTGCCTCAGGCTGCCATCCAGAGGCACTGCCCTTAGGGGCAGTAATGCCAGCCATCAGCCTTTGGGGTATTACTGCCCACAGCTCCTCTGCCCACCCATGGCCTCATTTTGCCTTGGCTCCCTCCAAGGCCCTTCTGCTGGCAGCAAGGCAAGGACTCGGCAAAGCCTTGCTGGTCTGACTGGAGGGGCCGGTGGGGCACCAGACATAGTGACTAAGTCAACTGTGGCAGGTGCCTTCCTGTGGGGAACCTCAATTTCCTGACCTGTAAAATGGGATAACAGTGCCCAGCTAGTGGCTAGGAGACCCCCAGGAACCCACAGTGAACAAGAAAGGGAACACCAGTACCCACGTCACCTGGGAACGCCAGCCCACCTCCTCCCTGCCCACACTCCCCACCCCAGGGCCTGGCTCCTCTGGGCTCCCCCTTTCCACGCCCCTCTCTCCCTCGTAAAACCACTTATGCTCCCAGAAGCCCGCAAGCGGGCTCTTTATGGCTCATTTTGGGAGTTTTCTCTTCCCCATCCTCACCCACCAGCCTAGACCCATGCAAACACCCAGGTTTTTATGGGCCATCTCTTGGTCGTAAACGGGGTAATTATATGGTGTGAGCTCCTGTTTGCAATTCCAGAGCCATGACTTTCACACAGGCTCTGGGAGCCCTCGCAGAAGTGCTGAGCGAGAAAGAGCCTGACCCAGGTAAGGTGGGGGTGGCTCAAGGCCTGCCAGACCTGGCTCGCTGCCCCCACTGCAGCAGAAGGGCTAGAAGTGTGAAGAACTCCTGCCCAGACCACCAGTGGCCCAGAGAGGCTCACAAGTTGGGGGTAGGACGTTCAAGACTGAACTCCAGCCCTTTGACTGGCCCGGTCTTGTCTATGCCTCAGTTTCCTTGTATGTAACTCAGGAAGCTTTGATTAAATGTCCCTGGACAACCAACCCTAGTCTCCTCCTCTTTAAGCACCCAGATTACCAAACCCTCCCTTCTCTGCTCTCACTACACACAATCCCACATCTGGAACAAGGCCCTTGTTCCAAGCCCCTCTACCCAGGGGCAAGGGACACTTTTTAATGACACCTGTGCTGGTCTGGCCTTTCTCCTGACCATTCACCATGTCAGCCCTGGCCCTGGGAAATTCCAAGGCCACACAGCAGCCGTATATGCACCTGCCATTGCCATCCCTGGGTAGAGGAGAGAAGTTAGAAACGGCTCATGGAGCCTGACCCTTACTTAGCTGATTCACCCAGAAAGCATTCCTCCAGCTTTGCACCAGCTCCAACACCGCTTGGCCCCCAAAACACTCAGCCACAACACCACTCAACCCCAATGCCACTGGGCCCCAACACCACTCAGCCCCTGTTGCTGGGCTGGATATCCTTCTGGGATACAACATCCACCCTTCATCACACTTGAAACTAAACCCTAGAAACCTAACAGTTGCAAAATCAGGCAGCTGAATGTACAAGAGGAGAAGAAGGCAGCTGCTGTGAGACCACGAGGGATGAGTGACCAGTCACCTTGGAAGAAGGGGGTCAAGGGAAGAGGTGAAATGGGTCACAGAAACCTAAATTTAGACCCCAGCCAGAAAGGGCTGAATCTTGCTGCCATGAGCCCAGGGCCTCCGTGGGGCTCCCCAGCAGGTGAATATGATATACAGGTTTTAAAAACTACTCCAAGAGGCCCATTTGCTCAGGGAGAGCCGGACAGGAAGAGGGAGGCATTGGCAGTGTGAGTCACATAGGCCCCAGCTCTGAGAGGCAGTGGGAGGGAGCTGAAGGGAGCGCTGGATGGCTTCCTGTCTTTCTCCAGGCCTTTTCCTAACACCACACGTGTGCGTGCAGCAGCTCCGTCCACCCCGGAGAGCCGGGCCCTGCTCGTGGGAAAGGAATCAATGGGGAGCAGCCGGGCTATTTCGGGAAGCTTCCAGGAACATGTATTTCCTATCAGCACATCTTCTTGCCCTCAGCTCTGGTCACCAAGAGAAGCTGTGCTGTCCTCAGTGGCAGCAGCCCCTCGAAGGGACAATGGGGCTAGGTCAGGTCCCCAGGGGAGAGGGGACAATGTGGCTTAGGGAACTAGCTTTCCCCCACAGCCAAAAGACAGAAAAGAAGGGAGCAAAGACAAAAAGAAGAGTGACACAAATTACGGCCCTACTGTGCGCCAGATGTGCCATCTGCCTCGTGCCCATTAGTCTCCCACAGAGGACAATGGAAACCAGGGCTCTGAACTGGACCTCATCTGGCCAAGGCCACCTGCAGGTGCAGTAGCAGGTGCAGCCCTAGAGCCTAGGTGTGGTTGAGGAACCTGAGCATGTGCCCTGCCACCAGTTAGCGACAGGAGACTTCCCAGGATGGAGTTCTTCTCCCTCCAGTCAGCTCCAGCCCTGGCTGGTTCTCATCAGCAGCCATCCCCTGGGATGGACCACAGCCTAGGCCAGCGGGTCAGAAGCTCAGTGGAGCCGTTTGCAGAGAATGCTCATGCACAGGCCCAAATCCCAGAGTGTCTGCATCCCAGAACCATGGGAGGTCAGCCCATCCCCTCTGAGCAGTTCCCAAAACCTCCCAACTTCAGGGTGCTTCGGCCATGACCCTAACCCTGCACAAGCTGGGCTGTTGGGAGCCACTGCTATTTTTAGAGGCACAAAAGGCCAAGAGGATAATGTCTTCTCCCTCCTGGGATGGGAAGAAGTGTCTTTTGCCAAAGCCGAGCTGGAAGAGGCCCCAGTGCTAGGATGGGAGGAACAGAGGCATCCCCTTGGGGCAGCCGGACAAGCCAAGCCCAGGCAGGCAGGGGGTAGATGGACAAGCACTGTTTCCATCAGGCTGTACTGCACAGCTGAGCACCTACTGTGTGAGGAGAGGTGCAGGGAGCGGCTGGCTGGGGAACTGGGCACAGCAACCTGGTCAGAAATGCTGCCCCTAAGCAGGCCATGTGACTTTAGGCAAGCTGGGTCACCTCTCAGCCTCAGTTTCTCAGCATTGCACCTGTTGCTTCCTTGTCTGGTGGGAACGTTTCCGGGCCCCTTCCCATCGAGTTTGAGAGTACTCATTCAAAGTGCTCGGGCACAGGGCTGGCATGTCCTTGGGCCTCCAGAAACAGCAGCTATTGTTACTACAATTGCTATTAATTCTCACTCCGGAAATAGAGGCAGAAAGGGGCGGGCGGCCAGTATTGCTGGCCGCCTGGGTCTGCAGGACAGACTTGGAGAGACAGGGAGGAGGGGCAGGGGGCGGGCACAGGGGTGGGCTACTCACTCATTGGTCATCTGCACCACCTTCTCGATGGCGGTGTAGCCAGCCGCCATGAAGTGTTCTGTGTACTGCTGCATCTTGATGGACTCCAGCCACTCGGACACCGTGCGGAAGGGCACGCCCTCAGAGCCACTGGTACTGGGCAGCCGGATGGACACACTGTGGGGCACCCAAAGCTTGCAGGTGAGCTGTGGCAGCTCCCAGCACACCCACCACGGCCCGGAGCCTACTGTGCACCAGCTCCTGCCCAGTCCTGTAACCCCGTTTCCCCATCAGGATTCAATGACGCAGCCTCGTACATCGGGAGCACTCAGCAGCTGTCCCAGGCTTGCTGACAATACCACCCCCAAAGGGTGGTCTGCACAGGCAGATCTCTGGGATCCTGGGCCCACCCTCACCCCCCGACCCTAGCCTGGCCACTTGCCAGATGTCTAGGCTATGTAATTGCCCCATGTTTCAGTTTCCTAATCTTTAAAAAGGATAATTACAGGATCCATCTGGAAGACTGTTTCAAGGAGCTAAGTCACATCCAGTGCTGAGCACCATGCCCTGGCATGGTTAACCACCTCGTCGGGCTTCCAAGCCCCCACCAGACTGGTCTCAGCACAGCCGGAGCTCCCACAACCCCACCACCACCCAACTTCCTTGGGGCCAGCTGCTATCCCCAACTGGCTCAGGAAGCTGAGCGGCAGCCAACCTGGAACTCACCGCGGGTCAAAGTCAGCCAGGGTCTTGAGGGAGTCGGGGGCTCGGATGAGCTTGTCGAGGATGCTGACAATGTCAGTGAACTTGGGACGGCGGGCACGCTCCTGCTGCCAACACTGCATCATGAGCTGGTAGATGGCAGACGGGCAGTCCATGGGCGTGGGCAGCCGGAAGCCGTCGTTGATGGCTTTCATCACCTGGGGGCAAGGGAACAATTGAGCATCAGTTGAGGGAGGTGGATCGCAGCAGGAAGCCACAGAATCCCACAGAGCAGGCTCTGTGGCAAGTAAAGCTACTGTCTCTGGTGCCGGCATTCCATATGGAAACAGGTTCAAGGCCCGGCTGTTCCACTTCTGATCCAGCTCCCTGATAATGCACCAGGGAAAGCAACTGAAAGGATGGCCCAAGTGCTTGGGCCCCTTCAGGAAACCCAGAATAAGCTCCTGGTTCCTGGATTCAGCTGGCCTAGCCTTAGCCATTACAGCCATTTAGGTAGTGAATCAGCAATTGGAAGACCTCTCTTTGTAATTCTGCCTTAAAAAAAAAAAGAAAGAAAGAATGGGCCGGCATGGTGGCCTAGTAGCTAAGGTCCTTGCCTTAAATGCCCCGGGATCCCATATGGGTACCGATTCTAATCCTGGCAGCTCCACTTTCCATCCAGCTCTCTGCCTGTGGCCTGGGAAGGCAGTCAAGGACGGCCCAATGCTTTGGGACCCTGCACCCATTTGGGAGACCTGGAGGAAGTTCCTGGTTCCTGGCTCCGGATTGGTGCAGCACCGGCCATTGCGGTCACTTGGGGAGTAAATCATCGCATGGAAGATCTTCCTCTCTGTCTCTCCTCCTCTCTGTATATCTGACTTTGTAATAAAAATAAATAAATCTTAAAAAAAAAAAGGGCCAGCTCAACAGACTAATCCTCAGCCTTGCAACTGGAATCTTATGTGGGCACCAGTTGGAGTCTCAGCTGCTCCCCTTCCCATACAGCTCCCTGCTATGGCCTGGGAAAGCAGCGGAGAACGGTCCAAGGCCTTGGGCTCCTGCACCAATACAGGAGACTTGGAAGAAGTTCCTGGCTCCCAGATTCAGATGGGCTCAGCTCTGGCCATTGTGGCTATTTGGGTAGTGAACCAGCAGACAGAAGATCTCTCTCTTTCTCTCTCTGTAATTATACCTTTGCAATTAGAAAAAAAAAAGTTGTTTGTTTTTTAAATAAGTAAACACCTGTAGCCAATCCCCTGGGGACCTTGTGCCTGGGAGCCAACACTCACTCTACAGATCAGGACATGGGGTAGGTGCCGAGGGGCTGGCTCCAGGGCACCACGAAGGCACCTGAGCCTCTGTTACTTCCACAGGGCATCCCAGGCTGCGGCCATACAATGCACCCTGCAGGTCAGTCCAGGCTTCCCTCTGACCCTGGGTTTGCCACCCTCCTTGGTCAGAGCTCTCCCCCACCCCCTTTCTTCACCTGCCTGCTCCTTTGTGTACAAACATATACACACACCCCACTCCTTGTCTCTCTGTATTGTCCTTGGGACTGTCCACAGACACCAGCTCTCGGCGATCAGGCAGGCATGGACCAGGCCAGCGACCCACCTCGTGGTTCGACAGCTCCCAGTAGGGCCGCTCGCCATACGTCATCACCTCCCACATGACGATGCCGTAGCTCCACACGTCACTGGCCGAGGTGAACTTGCGGTATGAAATGGCCTCAGGGGCTGTCCAGCGGATGGGGATCTTGCCGCCCTGTGGGGGACCCGGGCTCAGTCACCACCATGCCCTCCAGTGACCTGAATCACAGGGCTGTGGGTACTCCCAAAGGTATCCTGTACCAGAGGTCCACCCCCAACCCCAGGGAGGCCGGGCCAAGCCCCTTCCGCAACTCACACTGGTGGTATAGGTGGCCTCCGGGTCATCCTCCAGCACACGGGACAGGCCGAAATCGGACACCTTGCACACCAGGTTGCCGTTGACGAGGATGTTGCGGGCGGCCAGGTCGCGGTGCACATAGTTCATGTTGGCCAGGTACTTCATGCCCGCCGCGATGCCCCGCAGCATGCCCACCAACTGTAGTACGCCGAACTCGCCATCTTTCTCCTATGAGAGCAAGGATCGTCAGCCACCAACCAGCTCTTAGCGTCTCCCATTCCCCCCCGGCCACTCTGGTGCCATCCTTACTCGAAGGAACTTGTCCAGGGCCCCATTCTCCATGTACTCTGTAATGATCATCATGGGCTTGTCTGCAGGATGAGACCAGGCACAGCGGTGAGTGGTGGGGTGGGAGGTGGTGGGCGCAGCTCAAGCCACAGCCCCACGGGGTCACTGGGGGGGCAGCCTCTCCCCGGGGCAGGGTCCCACAAGCCTCACATTTCGAGACGACACCCTCCAGGCGGATGATGTTATGATGGCTGAACTGTCCCATGATGGAGGCCTCACTCAGGAAGTCTACCCGCTGCTTCTCCGTGTAGCCAGCCTTCAGCGTCTTGATGGCCACAGGTACCTCTTTCTTCCCTGAAGACGCCTTCAACATCCCCTTGTACACTTCTCCAAATTCTCCTGTGGGCAGGCAGGGCAGAGGGGGCACCCTTGGTTAGCCCACCTGCACCACTACGACCCAACACCAGTTTCCTACTCTGCTTTCCCCATCACTGCCACCCAGCCCCGGGTCCCTGCAGCAGGTACGTCGGCCTCACCTGCTCCGATCACTTTCTGCCGGGTGATGCAGGATGGGTGGATCTCGGTGGTGAACTTGAGGACAGCCTGGTTGGGGTCCTCATACGTATGGGGGTCCACGTATGTCTTCAAGGGCTTCAGTTGTTCTAGAAGAGGAAGGAGGGGGTGGATCACAGCCAGCTTAACTAAACCCAGAGTCTTAGGAGACAGCCTCGCCCCTCGGCGCTGCCCATGGAAGCTGCTGAGCCCCATGCCAGAGCCCCATGCCAGAGCCCCAGAAGCACCTGCTGCAGAGCTGGGGATGGAGGGCTGCATCTCACCTGACTTGGAGAAGTACACGTCCTCCGAGGACTGGCGGGCACGTAGGTTCTTCCTCCTGCAGAGACCCCATGGAGCAGGACACGGGAGGGTCAGGGCTGGCTCTGGCCAGGGACCCTCCTGACTCAATGCTGGTCCCAAGAGGGGAGCTTTGGGTGGTGGGTTTCTGCTTTTCCCCCCCAGGGGGCAGAGGGCACAGGGAAGGTAGGGGGCAGGCAGAGAGGAAATGAGCTAGCCACGCCCATCCCTGCCAGGGTCTATGCCCTATAATGGCCCCATAAGTGGAGGTCACGAGGACTTCCCTCATCAGCAATACCCAGCACTTCCTGTCATGGCCAGAGGAAGTGTGGCTACACCATTAATGCCAAGAGCAGAGACAATGGCCGCCTGTCTGGAACTCCCATAATGTGCCCGGTCTCTTGCTAGACAGGCATGGCTCATAACGGCTTCACCCAGCTGGGAGGTGCGGATTACTCCACATTAGGTCACATCTACCTTGCCTACCAGGCCCATTTTTCAGATGAGGAAACTAAGTTTCCTGCCGCACCATGGCCCACCCATGCTCTTGGGGAGCCCAGGGGTGAGCTCTGACTCACCTGCGGTGAATGAAGAAGCCGATTCCTGCCAACATCAGGAGCAAGACAAGGCCGACGGCCACACCACCAATCACCGCCATGTTGCTGGATCCTTCCATGGCTGTCAAAGGAGACGAGCTGATGATATCCCCACCCCAGTTCCTGGTGACACTCCCTGTGCCCCCAAGGCCCGCTTCACGGACCTGAGCTGCCTGCAGATACATATGCATAGGCCCACTTCACAGAGAGACAGGGAGAGGCCCTCCCCGAGGGCTCACAGAAGAGGCTAGTGAGTCCCTGTCTATGGACTTGAACTTGGGTCTGCCAGAGCTGTCCCTCTCACAAAACTGCCTGAATGCACAGCCCTCACCCTCCACCCAGGCTTCTCAGACCTGGCTTCACATGACTGCCCCCAGCCCTGGTGATCCCAGGAGTGGGACATGACATCAGGGCATTTAATTCTTCCTCCCAGCAGGTGCCAACCACTCAGTTCAGGGGCCCTCACTCACACAGGGTCTGGAACTCGTGCACCTTGCTGCCGGCCCCCTGGCCCTCCTGCGTCAGTGCCTGCACCTGAACCAGGTAGGTGGTGTCCGGAGCCAGGTCGTCCAGGGTAACGGAGAAGCCTTCAGTACGGCGCACATTGTAGCTGTTAGAGTCCCCCTGGGAATGGCCAAAGGGGTGGAGGAAAGGCCATGAGGGCAGGGCAGGGGCCTGGGCTTGGCCCAACGGAGACCACTCCCCATCAGCAGGTGGCCCAGCCAGCAGGTGGGCCACCTCTGTCAGCAAACTTAAGGAAGCAAGCCAAGGTTCAAACACAAGACCAAGGTCTGCCTGGTCCCAAAGCCCCAACCCTGACCGCCTCCTTCCACAGTCTTCTCCCCCATGAGCCAAGGCTGTGGCGCCCTGGGAGACCCAGGCCTCTGCTTCCCTACTGCAGAAGCGAGCATCACAGTGTGGTAAGCAGCCACATGGCCAGCCAATCCCAGCCCTCTGTCCTGAGCCAGTTACCTTCTTGCGGTAGGTGACCTCGTACTTCCACACGCGGCTCTGCTGTGGCACGGGGATGGTCCAGGACACGCTCAGTGAGGTGGTGCTGCGACCCTCCAGCTTCACCTTGGGGGGCTCTGGGGAAAGAGAAATGAGGGAGGGAAAGGGTGTGAGGTGGCAAGGGGACTCAGGTCCTCCCACAGCCCAGGCTCAGGGGAGCCCATTTTGGGATCACTGACTTCTAGCTCCCGAGCACAGGGCCACCCCTCCTCCCACACCTGCACCCCACTGGCCATCAGAGGGACCTTGTGGGTATTTGCAGGTGAGCAAGCTATCAAAATCAATGCCCAGCCGACTCTTGCAGAACCTTTCCCTGGACCAGGCCCTGTTCTAAAAGTCTCAAAGGAGCCCTACCATCACCCCCACTCCACAGGTGGGAAAACTGAGGCCCGGGGAAGGGTCCACCCCTAGTCAGAGCTTGGAGGTGGCTCCAGAAAGCTCACCTTCAGCTCTGCCCATGGCCTGGGCAGCCCCCACCAGCCCTCACCCGTCTGGTTGATGGTGACGCTGGCTGTGCGGAAGCTCCGGCTGGTCACCAGGCCCGAGACGCCGTTGCGGGCCTCCACGGCGAAGGTGTAGTTCATGTGGGGTTCCAGGTCACTGACAGTGACACTGGTGCGGGTCAGTGCATGTGGAGACTCTGAGTAGCGCACACTGGCCTCACAGGGCCCACACTCGCCAGTCTCAGGCCAGCACTGCTCACAAGTGACGCTGTAGATGATGTCTTCACGACCCCCGGTGTCCTGAGGGGGTGTCCAGCGCAGCTCCACCTTGGCCCCCATGCCCACGGCCGTGAGGTAGTGTGGGGCAGAGGGTGGGCCTGCACCGACAAGAGAGGTCAGGACCTGCCCCAAGACCACACCTGCGGCCACCCCTCTCCCTCGATGCAAGACTCACGTGTGCAGGGCATGGACAGTGGGTCCTGGGGTGCCCGGAAGTAGCCTTCCTCACACTCGCAGGAGGTGGCACCCTCGGGGGATGGCAGCGTGTGCTCGGGACACTCTAGGCAGGGGCTCTCTGACGCCTCAGGTTTGAAGAACCCTTGGGAGCAGGCTGGCAGGTACAGAAGACAGACAGGGTGGTTACTTCCACCTGTCCCCACCCCCAAATGGCCATTCCCCCACACCCTCGCTGTACCATCTTGAGCAAAGCATGAAATCTCTACAATTATTTTCTCACAGATACAAAACAAATCATGAAAGAACCCCAGAAATGTCTTACCCACGTGCCCCAAACCTGTGCCTCTCTCCACTGGCTCCTGCCGGAAAATCCAGGGACACATGCTCCTGAGACAGGCATCCAAGGTCTATTTCACACCTTCTGGCTTCCTAAGGATCCTACCTGGCCTGGGCACTGCCTGCCTGTCCTATCACCTTTGAGCCAATCAGGTCAGCCAGTCAGGTCCCCACTGGGGCAGCCATGACTGCACCTGCCTGGCCATTGTTTGTTGACCAATTCTCACACCCGCCACCCTGACCAACCAGCCAGCCTTGCCTGCTTGGGGCACCACCCTATACCCTATGACCTGACCACCTTCCCGTTCCGGGGCCAGACAACCAGGAAGCGAGAGAGGCCATGCCCTCGGCATTTTTCTCTACATCTTCTTCCAGGATCGAGTCATTTCCGCTGCTCCCAGGGGGTTCAGGAAGTGGTTCTTCCTCCTCCTGGAGCTGCTCCTGTCCTGGCCCAGCTAGCAAGGGGCTCAGACACCTGACTCCAGGGGCGCCTTCCTCCCACCACCCTATCCTGCCCCTGCCCCAGGCCCCTTCCTGATCCCTCAGGCAGGAAGCTGCACAGACATGGGACCTATCAGGCAGGACTGAAGGGCTTGGGCAGCTGTAGAAACGGCCAGAGTGAGGTGAGGGCACCTTGGAGACCACGCCTGGTGACTGCCAACCGGGTCCCAAGCAGAAGGCCCGCAGACACTGTAGCCTCAGTGTGGCTCTATCACACACGGACACACACTCCACTCTCCCACTCTGCCTGGCACAGACCCTGAGATATAAACAAAGTCTCTGAAGTCAGGGGGCATGAAGGCATAACGAGGTGCACAAGCACAGGGGGCAGGCAGGGGCTGGCGTTGAAGTGCTGCAGATAACACTAACATAGCCCCACTAACATCCTATATGGGAGCGCCAGTTCAAATCCCAGCTTCCTAGAGAATGTACTGGGGAAGGTAGTGGAGGATAGCCCAAATACATAAACCTGTGTCACCCACATAGGAGACCCGGATGAAGTTCTGGCTCCTAGCTTTGCTTGGCCCGTCTCTGGTCATCGTAGCAATCTCAAGAGTGAACCAGAGGATGGAAGATCTCTCTTTTTTCTCTGTGTAACTGCCTTTCAGTTAAATAAATTTTCAAGGGGGAGGGGCAGGCAAGGGCTAAGGGAGTGGAGGAGTGAAGGGGCTTGGAAATCACACAGCGGTTATCTCAGCTATGGGGGATCTCAACGGGGCAGAGATGCTGGGTGAGACAGCACAACTAATGCAGGGAGCAGCACAGATTTGTGGGCGTAAAGTGGAGGAGAGCAGGCAGGCAGGTGGATCTGGAGGACCCTGAAGGCTGGGCCGAGAAGCTGAGCCTGCATCCCAGGATGACAAGCAGGAGGGAAGGTCTGATGTGCCGACCCATCTTCAAGGACAGGAAAGTCTCCAACAAAAGCTGGAAGGCAGGGGAGGCGGGGAGGTGAGGGGGTAGTGGGGGGCAGCCCCGGCCAGGGAGGTAACCTCAGCCCCATGGAGGCCAAACTTCTCCAGCCCATCACTTCCCAGTCCAGGCTGCCTTAGCAGACCTGTGCACAGGCCACGGGGAGGGGCTTGGCCAGGGTGGACACCCAATCCTGCTCTGTGTAAGTACCACCCAAACACCTCCCAGACTAGGCCCCTGCACGCATTCAGCTCTCACAACACACCTGCAGCACAGGATGCCACCACTGGCATTTGTGCAGGTCCAGCTGGGAAGAGACACAGACCTGCAAGTCAGCCTCGGAGCAAGCCCCTCTCACCTGCCACTCAGGTTCTTAGCAACGGTTCCATTTGGAGCAAAGAAAAATCCAGGCCCTCCAACAAGCTTAAAGAACCAGGCAGACCTGGCCAGCTGCACCAGTGCAGTTCAGGAGGGGGAGAGCACTGAGGCACCCCCAACATGGATATCGAACTGAGCAGGTGTGTGTCCGGGAGGGGCAGGCCAGGGATAACTCCATGGTTCCCAAGCCCCAAGCATCTGCCAGGGCTCCCTCCAGATTTCAGAAATCCACACGTACTCTGCACCACTCCCCTCACACTCCTGCTTTAATACGAAAATAGCCACCTCCACCCCCCAGTCTTCAAGTGCAAAGAAGATTCTAGAAAGCCACACCAGATTTAGGCTTGTCTGTGAGGGCCTCACAGCCTGCTCAGTGCTGGCCCCAGTGGTCCCAGGGAATGAAGGGAACAGGACTACAATCTCAGGCTGGGGTGGGGGCTCTCACTCCCACAGACCGGGTTCCACTGAAGGCTTCAAGCACCTGTAAAACCCCACAATGCCCCGCTCCCCTCCCCGTGGTGGCTCCCAAGCCTGGCAGCCCTGTGCCAAGAGGAGGAAGTCGGGGAAGAGATGTGCTCCGTTCTTTGGCCCAGGAGCCCGGGGGTGGCCCGCCCGCAGCCGGCAGGAAAGAGGGAATTTGGAGAGATTTCCGCTGCGGATGTGCCAGATAATACAGTAAGCGGTGGCGGCAGCTACAGAGCAAGTGCTCGCCTGATGGGAATGCACCACCCCTCCTCCACTCTCAGAGCTGTGAGTCCCAGCCCCACCCCTTCCCAAGTTTGCAGGTGTTCAGGGGTGCCAGAGCTGGGGATTGGGCCGACTAGCAAGCCCCAGTATCTTCCTGACGTTCCTGGCAGTCAGGGCAGGATTTCACACTCAGACACAGCCACACTCACCAAAGACAACCCACCCCCTGCCAGACCCTGACCCTGTGCCAACCAGCAAACTCCTCTGCATCCTTCAAGACCCAGCAGGAGCATCTCTGCACATCCCTCCCACGTGGCCCAACTGCCTGGCCTTTGAAGCCACAAGGGCATCTGTTACTCCATCTTATGTTTACCAAACAGAAAGGAACACTTCCCACGTGTCTAGCACCATGATGTGATAGTAAGACAGAAACACGGCCTCAGCTCCAGGGGACTTGGCAGCCTCAGCTTCGCTTTCCCACTCTAGGCGAGGCTTCCTCTGCCCACGTTAGGATCCTCTGTGCCTGACCGCAGGAATGGAGCCTCATCATGTCTGTACCAGAGTCAGGCACAAAGGACATCTCAGCAAACACTTGTGAAGATACAGGTGGTCAGATGAATGAATGAGTGAATGAATGAATGGATGGCAAAACCTACAGGTGCACTGTAGCCATAGGAGAGAACAGCATTTCAGCATCTAGGAGCCCCCATGGAGCTTGCACACCTGGCCACCCACCAGCCTGGTATGAGCTTGGCGGTGGCACACCTGTGACAACCTGTGTGGCATGTCTAAGGCCCAGGCCACTCCATGCAGGGGAACTGGGGCACAGTGGCTGCACCCCGGTTTTTCCAGTTCCCGCTGCCTGTCCCTCAAGCAGCAGTGTGGGGTGAATCAGGGACAGGCACCCTCTCCATGACGCAAATCTCTCTGGGCCAGCCACCTCCCAGGCGGCAAGGTGCTGGGGTCAAGAGGTCGTGGTGGCAATTCCCTAGGGCTGGTCACTCTCCTGCGCCAAGCGCAGCCAGGGCTCATAAGCACCGCTGGGCCTAAGACCTGGACTTCATCTCCATGCCCTGCTCTGCGACCTGGAAGTTACTGACCTGGTAGCTGCAGGTCTTGGTGGCTTCTGGCCCTCTCCAGCAGGCCCTGCAGAGGGCGGGCCGCGTGCCCTGCCAGCATGCCCAGGCCCATGGCCCAGCACCCTGCCCCTTTCACACACACCCTGGGGAATTATCTGCACTGCATTCCTCCACCAAGCCGAGATAAGCACGGCTCCCCCAGCCCCGCCTCCTCCCTCCCTCCCAACAGCCTTTTATCTCCTGTTTGCTTACCCTGCCTCCTTCCTTCCGTTCTGGGGACCCACTTACCTCCCGGAGACAGGGAGGGGCCCACCTGATGGGAGCAGCTGTCGGGAGGGGGGGTCCAGGAGGGCAGAGCCAGCAACAAGGGTGAGGTAAGTGGGGCCGTGCCACCACAGTCCCACTCTTGTAGGCCACAGAATCAGGCCCGTGGGTCTCCCAGGTGGGGGGACAAACACACAGAGCACCTTAGCCTGGGAACTGTAGGCAGCAGGAAATCTGCTGTGCGTGAGGTCACCTTGCTAAGGACCCCCCTTTCCCTGGGGAAGCCTCCCTTTCACCCCAGGAGCCCAGCCCCTTCTCACCACAAGGTGGTGACTCACACAGGGCCTCAGGGGGCCTCTTCACAAAGCCCAGCAGGTGCACTCAGCTCACCAGCCTGACAGGGACATACCAAGGTCACACAGCTTGTGGGAGGACAAGGGCAGAGGGGAATGAGGACAACACCCTGCCTTCCTACGCCAAGCCCCAGAACTTTCGGTAACTGATTCTTCTCTGGGCCTCAGTCTCTTTATCTGTGAAATGGGGATAAAGTTCTTGCTCTTTGCACCATCTGTGAGGGCTGGAGGAAGCCTTGCTATGAGTTGTCCAACAAGATGTCTGGACAAGGCTGGTCCCCCGAGCTCAGGGGTCCTGAGACGTAGAGGGGGTAGGAACCTCCCATGAGGGAACCCCAGCCCCTGTAGCTCTGGCTCCCAGCTGCTGGGCTGAGCTGCTGGCCAAGGCCGCTGGCCACCTGCTCACCTGGCCGGCAGTCCCCCTGGGCGCCAGACAGCCCCGCCAGCTCAGCTGCCAATGCCAGCACAGGAAGCAGAGATGAACAGTGAGACAAAGCAGCCCCAGGGGACAACGGTCAGCCTGAGCGACTCCACTGTCCCCTGGAGGGGGGAGGGGTGGCTACAGGGAAGCTGGCTCATTCCTGACATAGCTCGCGGGTACTCTGTTGGGCAGGATGCCTACCTGTTCACACACAGCACCTGCACGGGGTGGGGGCTTGACGGGGGAAGAGAGGCCCTTTCTGCTTACCCCGGACCCTGTGCTGCTGTCTGAGATCCTCCTGGGGCTTCCTGGGGAGGAACATTGAGGCAGAATGGCCGAACCTGGGAATCACCCAGACCTGGTACTAGTGCCCTGCAGGGTGACCTGGGAGAGTCCCAGGGAAGACTCTGGCCTCCTGACCCAGGGAGGAGCAAGCAGGCAGGGCTCACCTGGTGCTCTCCCCCTCTTGGACTCCTGGGGAGCCCAGAGCCCCGCAGCACTGGGACCTGCCATCCTGGCGCTACCCCAAGAACCCACCTCCCACCTCTGAGCCAAGAGCTGAGTCAGGGTTTCCAAATGACCTGGTCATTTCCCTCCTCTTTTCCTGATCTGTCTTGTGGCCTCAGCACCACCGAGTGGCCTGCATTTAAAGCCCAATGCAGCCACTCACATCCCAGTCGTGTGCCTCCAAGCAAGCCTTGGCAATGCCTGAAGCCTCAGTTTCCTCATCTGCTCAGTGAATGAATGACCTTGCCTGCTGGCAATGGGAGCTGCTGAGCTGGGGCTGGAAACAGAAGGGGTAGCCAGACTGGGGTTGCTGGCATCTCCAGCACTGAAGCAGGACCATGACAGAGGGAATTTTGGGGGTGGTGGAGAGGGGGATTCCCAAGGAGGAAAAATACAGAACAAGAGCCGGAGCAACTGAGAGGGTCCCACAGCGAAGGGGAACATCCCACTCTTGGAAAAGTGTCCAACCTCCTCCCAGCCAGGGCCTGCTGGGTTCTTTATAAAGCCAGCTGGACCTGTGACCCTTACCCCCAAAAGGCAGGGCAGTCCCTTCCTGGAGAGACGCCCCCTCCTACCCCAACCATCCATTTATCTCTGTGGGACCTGAATCCCAGCCTGTGGAAAGTTTTCAGCTGCCCCTCACTCCCCACCCCCGCATTCCTAGGCGACTATGTCATGTGGGAGGAGCCCAACAGCTCCCCCCATCCCAACCCACCCCACCCCTTGGTCATTGTCTAAAACCAGGAGTGAGCCTGTATGGAGGTCACTAAAGCAGGGGCTGTTTGGGGGAAGGGGGCTTACTCGGCAAAGGAGAGCTTGGAGGACCAGGAGGCCACCCCATGGGCTTATTACGGTCAAGAACACTCGCTTGAAGGTACTTTTTACCCCAGGGGAGGAGTTTGTGTCACGCAAGGTTCTGGGGATTTTGCTCTGGGAAGCAAGTAGGACCCATCAGTGCAGGATCCAGGGCTGAAGCCCACAGAGAAAGGCTGCTAGCCACTGCCACCATTGAGCTCTTTCCCATTTTACTCCCAGGAAGCCCAAAGCCAGAGCCAAGGAGGGACTTCCCACTCAGCAGGTATATGCAACCACAGAGCTGCACCCCCGGTTTCCCAACACCCTGCTTATCTCAGCAAAGCAGCTCCCGGGGAAAGGGATGAGGTGGCCCTCGGAAGGCTGGCATGTAATCCACACACGCCTCACCCACAACCTTTCCCCAGGAGCTGCCCACTGCGAGAACCAGGCTACCCGAGACTTCCACTGTTTGGGGCCCCTGGTTGTACCAAGTAGCGCCTAATCCCCGGGCCCAGAGAGAATCAGATTCAATTCACCTCTTTCCTGGGCTCAGTGGTTTCAACCCCAGAGGCCTCGATGAGCATCTGGGCCCGAGGTTCCCCCCACAGTGGGGCAGGCAGGCAGGAAAAACAAACCCTCTGCCTCACTCAACTCTGCCCTCACTTGACCAGCAGGCTGGGAAAGCTCCCCAGGTGTGTAGCCCACGGTACTTTAAGGTCTGGGACCAACTCAGTCACCTCCAAGGAAGGACACAGGGATGGACACACACACACGCGGAGACCTAGAGTGATCAAGCCACCTGCCTGAAGTCACACAGCGGAGGCAGCAACAGAAACAAAAGCCACCAGGAGAAACTCACGGGTCCACAGCACAGGGCCAGGGCGAAGCCTTGAGGAATATTTACAAGATGAATCAAACCTCCCAGCCTCGCTTACGGGCCTTATGTGTCAGGCCCTGACCTCAGTGCTTGATGAGCGTGAAATCATTTGATTATCACAACCACCCCAGGAAACGGAGCGCCTAGAACATCTCCGCCTTCCAGGTGAGGCCACACTAGCCCAGGGAGATTACAGAAACTTCCTGACATCACTCACACAGCCCCGTGGGCCCCTGGGATATGAACACAAGCGCTCTTGTTCTAAAGTCCTCACTTGGAACCTACATTCCATACCGCGTCTCCATTTACTCATCCTCAAAGGATGACTGAATGACTTCAGATGGCCCCAGCACATCAGAGCAGGGACCAGCCCCCCACTCCCCATCCCACGGCTTCACAGTGCGACAGACTGGCACCCCAGACATGCAGTCTCCCTCCCCAGCACCCATGCCCTGCTGCCACCCTGAACCAGCACTCACCCTGGCAGCTGTCGTTCACTTTTTCGTAGCCTTCCTGACACAAGCACTGCCCAATGGGCACCAGCCACTCGCCATCCACGGCACAGTGCATACGGGGCTCTTCAGCCCCTGGCGGCACCACCGCATGGTCCACGCAGGTGCCAGCCACGGTGGCCAGGGAGGGAGCGTCAGAGCCAGCGATGGTCTCCGGGAAGTGGGCCAGGCCCTGCAGCAGTTCAGGGCACTTCTTGTAGTACACACGGACGGAGAGCAGTGCCACGCAGGCTCCGATGTCCTGGAAGGCCAAGTAGAAGCCCTTGCGGGTAAGCGGCCCCACGGAGCGCTCCTCCACGTTCAGCTTCACATTGCGTGCCTCAAAGTCGCTGCTCACGGTGATCTCATCGGGCGCGATGGTGTCAATCTTGGTGAATTGGCGCTTCTGGAAATTGGTGCCATAGTCCACATCCGACTCAGCGTAGTAGAGGTTGAAGGTCTCCTTGCAGGAACTGGCGCCACCAGGGAAGCTGTTGCAGTCACGCACCGTGAACTTGAGCTCGATGAAGATGCGCTCGGCCTCGCCCCGGTACACCCAGTTGGTGCGGAGCCAGTTGTCCTGGTCGCCGGCCACCACGTTGCACACGGAGTACATGTAGATGGGCATGTCATTCATGATGTTCTGCATCAAGTCCCACTGTGTGCGGGGCAACAGGTTAGTGTGGGTGGGACCCAGGGTGGGGGGTGGGGAGCACACCTGGGCATCTGGAAGATGCTGGCTGGCTCTTGCCTTCTAGAAGGGGCTCTGGGAGTGGCTGGGCTGGGTTTGGTCGTTGGGGTCCCCGAGTGTGAATGCAGAGCTTCTACAGTAAATCGTGAGTCTGGGGTAAGATCTGGGACCCCATGTGACCCCAGGAGAGGTTTGCATCACATGACACAATGTCTACAAACGTGCATGAGGGCATCAGGAGCTGTTCCTTCTGCCAGCATGCCAGCAAAGCGAAGGGTCAGATCCAAAGCAGCGGATGATCTGCCACCATATAGACATTTTAATAACCAATACACGCTCCTCTCTTTTGGAATACAGCTCTGCCTCCCCAGGGAAGGCTTCCCAGATTGGGCCAGGTCCCCTTCTCCTTGGTTCCCAGTCTCCACGTCCCTTGTATCATAGCACGTGCCACACGGTGACACCACATCTGGCTCTCATACTAGAGTCTGAGCCCTTCAGGACAGGGATAACATCTGGGTCAGTTCTGCAGCCCCAGGGCTGGTCTGGGCAGAGCAGGTGTGCAGGGAAATCTTTATAAAGGAATGAAAGAAAAGGAGACAAGAAAGACCTGAACTACATGGTGTGGCACTGGCCAAGCTCTAAGTTTCTCATTCTGCAATGTCAAGGGGGTTTAGGGGATCTGTACCCCACCCAGCTGGCATCTCAGAGTCCCAGATTTCCACCCAGAGCTGCACTTGAGGCCTCCTTGGATTAGGGTGGCCAAGGACAGCCTCCCAACCCGATCCCACATGCCCAGCACGGGAACTGTTCTGTGTGGCCCCCCCCAGAGACAACTGCTCCTCCCCCCTTCCCATAAACCCCGGCTCAGGACCCCAGGACACAGTGAGGGCCCACTGTCCACAGGGGGAAACTGAGGCAAGGCAAATCTTAGAAGAACCCAACCTCCTGTCCACCACGTCTGGGTCCATCAGGGCTACACAGAAAGGAGGAAATTGGGGGCAAAGAGGCAAATTCACCCACAGCAGGAAGGGCCAGCCACTGTGTGGCGAGGGGGCAGAGGAGCAGGAAGGAACTTACTCTGGTTTCACAGAGAGTGGTGGGTAGCTGGGAACCCCCGCTTCTCCCCTTCCTTCACCTCTCACCTCCCAAGCTGAGACGTCCCGGATGAGCAGCCTTTAACCCCGGCCCTCCAAAGAGATGGAGGGAGGAAGGAAGATCCCTCCGGCCATTGACCCTTTGTGGGTATCTGGGCGTCAGGCTCTGCTGAGGCCTGCAGCTGTCTTCCTGGCTCCTTCTGCCTTCCTAAGCCCAACCAGGCCCCATGTTCCATGAGCGTCAGTTTCCCCACCTTACACAGGGGACCAACACCTGCCCAGCCCCACAAGGCTGACTTACCCCTTTGCCGTACGGGTGCGTGAGCCAGCCGAGCTCGCCCTTGGCTGCTGCAAAGTCCAACAGAACAACTGCAAGGGATGGGAAAAGGGGCAGGTGAGGATAGGGAGAAAGACCACGGCAGAAGTCAGGGTCCCCTACCAGCAGCCCCATAGAGACGTCTTGACCAGCCAAGACTGTAATGAAGCTGGGCTCTCTCAGGCCAGCCCTCAGCTGAACAGAGCAAGACAGAGCTCTGGCCCAGCAGAATGGCAACTGAGCTGAGGCAGGGGCGGGCAGGGGTATTAAATGACACTCCTGGAACAAGGTCCCCAGGAGTACTTCACACATGTGTGTGGGTGTCGGGGACACTAATGCCTGCTTCAGCCACAAGCCCCCTGCTTGAATCCCCCCAACCCCAGCCAGAGCGCGTACACACACACACACACACACACACACACACACACACACACGTCTCATGCCCTCCCAGAGGAGTGCAGTTAACAGGTGCGAACAACTCCAGGAGAAGCCGGATGCCTGGAAACCAAGCTTCCCACCGCAAAAGCCACAGAGCAGGTGGGATAAAGAGCCATGAACTCAAGGGCCTCGACAAGGGGTCTGAAGATATAGCTGCTGAGAGTCTCTCTGGGAAAGTTATGCCCCCTGGCCTGCCAGGGGTGCCAGGTGGACAGAGAGGGAAATCTTTTTAGGGGAAATTCCAGGCCGAGGAGACCACGTGCTAAAACCATCATGTGCCCAAAGAGACATCTGGAGCCAGGCAGAAGAACCCACTTGCCAGGGGCTTCCCTGGTGGCCTTCAGGCACCTCCCAGTTCCCTGCCACCACCCAGTGGCAGCATCAAGACCCTTGGCATAGCTGCCTAGCTGCTTCTAAGGCAAGGCAAGGGAGGAAGCTCCAGGACCTGTGAGAATAGCTCCAAGAGCGGAACTCCAACGAGGCAGGATAGAAGCAGGGCTGGCTTGGTTTGGAGAGATGGGGGTGAAGGGCAGGAGGCACCCCCCAGGGCTATATTGCTCTTTTCCCTGTGACTAAGACCCCCAGGCTCGGGTGTGAGGCACTGCCGCTTCCCCACCCTCCTACAGACTAGCTGACCTTGGCCAAACAAGTGTCTCTAGGAAGGGCCCGCAGCCCGAACAGGGAAGAGGAAATCCGATGTGGCCTAGATCATGGGGACCCAGGAGGGTGACCGGTGGGGTGGGTGGGGGCCAGGATTTGTTCAGACATGCCCAGAGCCCGGGCTTGGAAAACTCACTAACCCCACTAGCAAATGGAATGTTCCAGCTACACAGGAAGGAATCTGGGGGTTCCTGCCTCCAGCAAGGTGGGCAGAAGGGCAACCGGAGAGCGACTCACAATCTCTACACACCCACTGCAGGGGAGGGACGCTGGCTCTGTGCCCCCAAGGGAGGGCATGGGGGCACCCAGGCCTTGAAGGGGGCACCTAGGGTGTCCTCCAATCCCTGGCCCTGCCCAGCCCTCCTCTGCTCTTCCAGCTTGAGCCTGGATCTAGAAGAATCCCAGGCTCATCAGAGAAAAAAAAGAGACCTTCACACAGGAAGGAGCCTCCCCTAGGGGCTCGTAGCCCAGCCCCCTCCCCTGGGAAATTCCCTAGGAGCAGCCAGCAGAACAGGAGGCGCCGGGCCCAGGGCCTCAGCCCTGACCCCTGCTCTGGCACCTGGCAGTCCTTCCCCACACAGAGGCACCGTCAGCCTTGGTAGCTGGGGAGTCCCCAGCCATGCTCCTGGGCAGCTCTGAGAGGCCCAGCCCTGTGCCCCTGACCTTGCCACCCCTCTTTCTGCACCTTTAGTGCCCTTGGATCGCATCCTTGATGGGTCCACACACTGTAGAACGTCACCAGCCACCCCTGCACTACCTGCTACCCAAGACCAGGGAACACCTCCAGAAAATGGGGAGACAAGGGACTCTGGGGGGAAGAAGTAGAGAAAAAAGGCAAGGGGTCAGGAAGTAGACCGGGATTCCCAGGACCCTCTTCCCAGCCCTGGACGGCAGCCCCTGCCACCCTGGGCCCCAATGCAGCTGTGTGCACATCGCACTGAACCATCTGCAAAGCCACGTGCCTTGGACAGCCCAGGATACCACGCGCTCTGCCTGACCCTCCGTGCATGGGCCCTGGCTAGCAGGGGGCCCAGGCTCCCAGCTGCCCCGCGTGTACAAGGACCTTAAAGGGCTCCACGTGAGTTGCAGCGGGGGCGGGGAAGTGAAGGCAGAAAGGAGAAGCTAGAGGAAGGGGCAAGCCTTCCCGTAGCCCGGTGGATCCAATCCCAGTCAACCAGGATCTCAGGAAGCTGGAGCCAGCAGCTGCCAGCTGGACTGTCACAGCCACCTCACCCCTGGAGAGGCGCAACTCCCTGGGGACTCTGGGAACCAAAGCCAAAACATTCGTCCTTGCCTATTGCCCAGGACAATGGGTACCCCCTTTCTTCTTCCTTGCCCAGGGAGGGGGCTGGAGGCTTTGGCCAGATAGGGTTCTGGGTAGAGGTGTGTGTGGAAGCCAGAGACCCAAGCAGCCGGGGCCTTCCTCTCCCTCTCTCTCCTCTCCCCTACTCCCATCCAAACCAAACCTTGGAGTGGGGTTGGGGTCTGGAAGTGGAACAGTCCCTGACCCACAAGCCTGTAACCAGGAGGGGCCTGGAGCGCACTCTCCAGCTCCGGCCTGTTCTCCCACCCCCAGAAGAACAGCAACGAAATCTCCAACCCCACTTTGGGAGGCGGCAAACGGCCGCCAGGGTTTCCTGGCGTTTCCCCCTGCTGGAGCCCGCGGAAGCCGCACTCCGGTGGTGCGGAAGAGGGGACCTTGTTCCCATGGCCGCGCACCGAAGCCGGCCTCTACCGAGGGGATAGGAAGAACCTCGGCCCAGGACAGGGGGCTCCACGACCCCAGCAGAGGAAGACGCCTCCCCTCCTCCCCTCCCCCCACACACAGCCCACCCGCCCTGGACAAAGTCTGCGGCCCTTACCAGTTGGGGGCCCGGGCACGCTAGGGCGGGGGTGGGTGATTAAGGGCCCCACCCTGGCCCTCCCCCTACCCGTGCCCGGGATCCCTGGTGGCCTCTGGGTGACGGCTCCACACCTTAGGCGGCCGCGCCCCCACCTGCCGCATTTCCTCGTCCTGAGTCACCCAGGATCTCAGAGACGCTGGACTTGGGGACTTCCTGTCGGTGCTCCTGATCCTGAACTGTCCCCGCTCCCGAAAGTGCGGTGGGCAAGAAGATGGGCCCGAGCCTGCCCTCCGACACTCCTACCCCGGGCAATGGTAGGCAAAAGTAGGGGCGTGGAGTCAACCTCAGGGTGCATGGGTTTCGGTGGAGAGACCCGACCCCAAAGTACCGGGCCTGCAAAGAAGCGCCTTCTCCGCCAGTTCGGGGCAAATGAGTTAGTGAGTTCAGCCACCGAGAGCCCAAATCCGCGGAAAACGCCCCTGGCACCCCCTCTTGTCCGAGAGACCCTCTCTCGCCCCTCGCCCGACCGCGTCCCTAAAGCTGCCGCCCGGGCTGCAACCGCGTGGCCGGCGCCGCGTCCCCTCCTCCGGCCTCGGATCCCTGCGCTCCGGATCCGAAACCCTTTAGTCTCCGAAGCCCCTGAAGTCCCGCGTTGTTGCTGTGGGGCGGATGGTGGTCCCGGTTCACCCCCCGCGAGAGCCCTCGAGCCCTCCGGACCCCAGTGCGCAGAGATCGGGAAGGCACCAAGTCACCTTCCAAGTTGCGTGGGGGTCCAGGAGCGCGGGGCTCTGGCAGACACCGGGGTCGCACGCTCCCGGCGTCCCGCGGCTGGGCCGGGTCGGGCAGGCGACCACCACGCGCGCACTCACCTTCCTTGCCCTGCGCCGCCGCCGCGAGCAGAGCGCAGCCCCACAGCAGCGCGAGGAAGGCACGGGCAGCCCGGCGCTCCATGCTCTCGGCGCGATCCCTGTGCCCGGCTCCGCGCGCCTGCCCGCCGGCCTCGGTGTCCGGCTCCCTCCCGCCCGCCTGGCTCCGAGCAACCCCCTCCCTCCAGCCCCAAGTCCTTAATGGAAGTTGGGTGAGAACCCGCTCCTGTTCATTCATGCCCGCGCCGACGTCACCGAAGCCACGCCCTCAGGAATGTCTTTAAAGGGGCCGGGCTGGCACGGGGAGGGGCGTGGAGGGGACCTGGGGTGGACTCTTGGATCTCGGGACACCCCTAGACCCACCTGAATTTGAAACGCCTGGAAGCGCTAGCCGCCCCCTCCCGGGCTAGCCTCGGCTCCTCTGAGCAGTGAAGGCTTTTGCAGGGAGCCAGTGGGCCAGGCGCTCGCTCGCCCGTTGCCCCTCTGGCCTGAACTTCGTCTCAAATTGGGCTGGAATGGACTGGGGTCTGTCTAGGAGCAGCCCTAGGAGAGGAGCCCCACAATAGATCCAGACTTCTAGACCATTCCTGGGACCCCCACGGGGTGCACGGAATCGTAGGGCCAGAGATCGCTAAGCCCCCTGGGATCTGTGAGCAGCCACTCTGGTGGGTCACACTAACCTGCACCTTGTTATCTGAGGGACAAATAGCACTGGCCCCTTTTACAGAACAGGAAAACTGAGGCTCCAAGAGCTTACCTAACATGCCCAAAGGCCGCACAACGCACAGGTGATAGGGGCGGGTCTATTTTAGCCACTGTTCCACACTGGGGTGAGACTTGAACAGGGGGCTGCCCTACAGAGCTCACCTCCCTCCCCCCCCAGTGCCGGAGCCTGGCACAGTGGCCCCAGAGGGCACTCTCAATTGCTCTGGGGGACACCTTCCTCTCACTTGCCCCTGCAGTGGCCTCTCCCAGAGCTTCCTCCGACATGAGCTCATTTAGACGGAAGTAGCTGGTGTCAGTGAAACAAACGGGAAATGCCCTCTCACGGACCTGCCCGGCCACCCACGGCTGCCTGTTGCCCAATCACCATTTGGCCAGCAAAGGAGGAACAGCGGTGACAGCCCAGGTCCCTGCGCCCATCTCCTTCTCACCGACCCCATCTTCCTCTCCACTCCCCGGGATCTGCTTAGGTACAGTACCTGGGGCCTAGGGTCCTCACTGCTGGCTGTGGACATCCCGGCCTTGGCGCCTGCCCCTGGGAAGCGGGTCCAGACATCTCCCCTGCAGGGAGAGAGGAAGGATTAATTACAGGTGTCGGGGTTAATGAGCGCCTTTGATCAGGAGGATGGGAGAGTGTGTGAGCGGGTCCAGGTCCGTGAGAATGAGTGCCGCTGTGTGGGAGGCTGTGCGTGAGTATGAACCCCGGGAGGGTTGGCACCTGAGGGTATACATGACTGCCACGCAGATGTGGGAATGTGTGAGCAAATGGGAAGGGGACTGTGTGGGAGTTCGGGCGCTTCCCCGTGGTTTGGGGCACAGGCTGTGCAGCCTGCCAATGAGTCTTTTGGACAAGTTGTTCCTCACTCTGCTCACTGGGAAGATACAGAAACCAAGGGCGCAGGTTAAACTGCCACCTGCAACAGCAGCATCACCAGTTCGAGTCCCAGCTGCTCCACTTCTGATCCACTCTGTGCTAATTTGCCTGAGGAAGCCATGGCTCAAATACTTGGGCCCCTGCCACCCCGGTGGGAGACCAGGATAGAGTTCCTGGCTCCTGGCTTCGGTTTGGTTCGGCCCTGGCCATTGATGCCATTTTAGGGAGTGAACCATCGGATGATTTCTGTCTCTCCCTTTCCGTCTGTAACTCTGCTTCACCAATAAAGGAAAAGGAATCTTAAAGAAAGAATGGAGAGAATCACTGTGAAGATCAAATAAGGTCATGCATGTAAACCACACAGGCTGGGACTGCAGAAAGTGGTCGTTAGGTCTCAGCTGTTATTACCATTCCGTGCGGTTCAGCCAGGGGAAGCTGCAGCTGGGAAGGCAAGAGCATGTGGTGTGCACAGGGCTGTGCGGAGGGGCGCCGGGGTGTGTGCATGGCTGTGCCTGTGTGTAGGAGACACTTTATGGTAAGTGCTTTGTGTCAGACTGAGTGCCGGAGGCTACAGGCACCGTGTGATGTGAGAATCCCTGTGAGCTGTAGAATCCCATTTGTACACATGTGTTGCACACCCTTGTACAAGCCACCTGAAGACAGAGAGCAGGGGTGCTTGCAGAAAATGCTACTGGCATGCAGGAACCGCTCAGCAAACCTTCGCCCAGCAGATGAGCTCAAGTGGTGAGTGAATGCCGCGTCGGCAGATTCCGTGCTGCAGGGAAGGCTCTGTGTGGAGTGCCGCCTGGCCCTCAGGGTGGTACACGCACAAGTCTGTTTCTACACACCATGCCCCAAAGCTTGGGACACGGGCAGAGGCCTGTGGGCAGGATGTGGGAAAAGGTAGGTGGGGACAACACCTTGACTTTTAGTCACCCATCTACAGTGACACATCCTCCCCGACTTCCTGTCCCAACTCAGAGGTCTTCCTGCTCAAGGTGACTGGGTGCTCAGGAGGAAGATTCTTCTTCACTCAGCCAGTGGCAGCATTTACTGTGGCATAAACAGCCCTCGTGGACCTGGAATGACCCCCAGAAGGGACCCGAGGAGCCCCAAGACCTTCAGAGCCAGGCTGCAGGCAGGGCTCCCCACCCAGACAGGTGCAGCCTGAGTGGGGCTGTTCATTTACTCATCCTGTCCTCAGCCCACCTTCCTATGCAGATACCCACCTTGACTGGAGGAATGCAGGTAACCAACATGAAACTGACCAACATGAAAGCACTGGAAAGTGCTTATACAAGCCAGGCCCCATTCTCTGCGATCCACCTGCACTGCCCCATTTAGTTCTCATTAGGTCCCCAGAGGTGGGCACTGTTTCTGTCCTTATTTTGCAGAGAAAGAAAAAAAAAAAAAAAAACTTGCTTGTAGGGGCTGGTGTGGTGGTGCAGCGAGTAAAACTGCCACCTGTGGCATCAACATCCTGTATGAGTGGCCAGTCTAATCCCACCTGCTCCCTTTCTGATGTTCCATCCACTGCTTCACTCCCCAAATGGCCACAACCGCTGAATCCAACGTCAGAAGCCCAGGAGCTTCTTCAAGATCTCCCACAGGACTCAGGGGCCCAAGACCTTGGGCCATCCTCTGCTGCTTTCCCAGGTACAGTAACAGGGAGCTAGATTGCAAGCAGGTGTCATTTGAATGAGCACCCAAATAGGATGCCAGTTTTAATCACTATGCCGCAGCACTTGCCCACCCCCCAACCTGGGAAAGCAGTAGAAGTCAGCCTAAGTCAGTGGTCCACTATACCCACCTGGAAGCTTCTGGCTCGTGGCTTTGGTCTGGTCCAATCCCGCCCTCCTCAACTCCCCCCAGTTGTTGTGTCCATCTGGGGAGTGAACCAGCAGATAGAGGTCCTTTCTGTCTCCCTCCTTCTATAACTCTGCCTTTCAACTACATAAATAAATGTTTTCTTCCAAAAGCAAAGTTCTACAATGGTTATCTGCAAGCTCAAGAGCCACCGTGGCCAAGAACAAAGACCCAGTTTGAAAATATGAGAAACCAGGGCCCGGCGGCGTGGCCTAGCAGCTAAAGTCCTCACCTTGAATGCACCAGGATCCCATATGGGCGCAGCTTCCCATCCAGCTCCCCGCTTGTGGCCAGGGAAAGCAGTAGAGGATGGCACAAAGCCTTGGGACCCTGCACCCGCATGGGAGACCCAGAGGAAGAGCTTCTGGCTCCTGGCTTCGGATTGGCATAGCACTAGCCATTGTGGTCACTTGGGGAGTGACCATCAGAAGGAAGCTATTTCTCTCTGTCTCTCCTCCTCTCTCTATATATAACTTTGCAATAAAAATAAATAAATGTGAAAGAAAGAAAGAAAGAAAGAAAGAAAGAAAGAAAGAAAGAAAGAAAGAAAGAAAGAAAGAAAGAAAGAAAGAAAAATGAGAAGCCAAGACCACAGGACCAGGAAGGCTGAGGGCGCAGCCACCTGCAAGAGGACACCGGCCCAGGAGCACTTGGCAGCTGGGACTAGTCACAACATCCAAAGGCCATCTGAAGGGTGCTGCTTAAGGTCAAGAGCAGCAGCAGGGAGGACACAGCTGGGATCTCCAAATGGGCTAATGACAGCTTCTTCTATGACCCCCCTGGGGCTCCCTGCCCAGCTCCTTGAGCTCCCATGCTGTGTACCTGCCTGCACCCTGGCTGCAGGCCACTGAGCTCTTGCCTGCCTACCACCCCCCCGCACTGTTTTCCCAATGAGGCTGGAAAGCAGCCCCAGCCCAGGGCCGGCTCTGTCACCTCTTTACCTTCCTGGTACCAGCTAAGACACGCAAGAGTCCCTAGTGGATACTGTCAATCTCTCCATTCACTTCACTGCATGTTTTCTGAGTGTCTGCTATAGGCCAGGCCCCTGCCCCCATACGAACACATTTACTTCCCCCAACAGTTAGTTCTGGAAGGAATTTGCATTGTCGCCATTTCTTACATAAGCAGAAAATGGGGCTCAGGGTGAAGTGACTCACCCAGTCCATCCCAGAACCCTGTATTTATTTTTATTGGAAAGGGAGATTTAGAGAGAGAAGGGAAACAGAGATCTTCCATCTGCTGGTTCACTCCCCAAATGACCACAACAGTTGGAGCTGAGCCAACCCAAAGCCAGGAGCCAGGAGCCAGGCACTTCTTCTGGGTCTACCCATGTGAGTGCAGGGGCCCAAAGATTCAGACCATCTTCCGCTGCTTTCCCAGGCCTTAAGCAGGGAGCTGGGTGGGAAGTGGAACAGCTGGGACACAAACCAGTACTCATATGGGATGCCTGCACTTGCAGGTAGAGGATTAACCCATTAGCCACCGCACTGGCCTCTATAGGCTTTATGCCCACGTGTCCTCGTCCCAGCTGTACCCCCTTCCTGGAGGTCCTTTTCATCCACGCAGCTCCTACTCATTCTTCCTGGCCCACCTGCCCTAGTGTAAGGCAGAACAATTTCACA